TCATCAAAATACCGAATCGGGACGTAGAGATATATGGTGGCTTAAAGTACCCAGAAGGAACTCCTTGTGTGGATTTTAGGCCAATTCCATTGACAAATGCGGCAAAAATCGTCAAAATATCCAACAACATCGTGGACCTATATAGACAATTCTTTTTCAGGAGGTAAAGTAGTCACGAAGAACTCCTTGTGTAGAATTTTAGACAATTCCATTGAAAAATGTGATTAAAATCATCAAAATACTGAATATCGGGGGTACCGTTAAATGGGGGCTATACGATATCGTGTACCAATATAGCCCATCTTCGAGCTTGACCTGCCTGCAGACAAAAGACTGATCTGTGTAAAATTTTAGCTTCCTATCTTCATTCTTTGTGACTCTAGCATGATTGTCATGTCTAAATCGTCTTAGCATTTTACGCTGATCAAGAATATATATACTTTGTTGGGTCTAAAATTATTATTTCGATTAGTTACAAACGGAATGGCGAACTATGTACGGTGGAGGTTGATATATTGATATTATGTTTGCCTGCACACTTTTCCGGCAATATTTGCTTAGTTTCAATTTAATAGGGAGGATGAAAAGGGTCCCTTCAAAATTACTTAAAATTCAGGTTAAAAATGTCATCTGAATATATAAAATTTCATCAATTTCCGTACAAATTATTATATAATTTATTGTGAAAAAAATATTATAAATAATTACAAAATTAAATTTTGCAAATATTACCCTGGCCTCTTCAGGTACATTTATTCGCAAAGCCAATATATTTTTCATTCGAAATCCATGGTAGCAACACAACTCGTTTCCTTTTGAAAAAAAAGAAAAACTTCTGCCTAAGAAATATGAAGTGTGAAAATGACCCCAAACCACTGAGAGACAGAGATAGAAGGGGAGGAAGACAACAGCAATCGACTACCAGTTGTCATAAATTTAAACTGGAAAAATTAAAATCCAATTAATAAATTTTAAATTTCCTCTTAAACGGGAACGCATTTTTTTCTCTTCTCATCGCCTTCTAATGGGCGAACTGGCCCATTTGGTAAGGCATTATGTTTTTTTTTCTATACCATTGCAATGGTGCGGTCTTTCCAGTTGCATCACATAACATGGATGGGAGGGGATAGCTGGAGGGAGGGAAGGGGCCTGCCTTTGGAATTTGAAATGTTAATAAATTTTATTGGACACTTTTGTAGTAGACGGTCGGTTGTGTTGTGTTACTTTTGCCGCCTCTTTTTTTTATTAATTTTCTTGTCGAGTCTTTGCTTTCGTGTTTGGCTATTTGGCTGAATGCTGAACGTTGCCTGACTGACTGTCTGACAGTTGGCTGTTGTTTGTCGAGATTTTGATTTATGCCTGTCTTAAATGTTTAAGAAAGACAAAATTTATTTTTTACTGCATTTTAATGCGCTGAAATCTATAGGCGTTTATATTGCTCGCTTTTACCAAAACGGCAACTATCACCAACATACATATATGTGTGTATAGACATATGTGTGCGTGTGAATGCATGTCATTCGTTTTGGCGTTATTTCCATTAAGTTTAAGTTTTTTTCTTGTATTTTGTCTGGCCGTCTGAGTTTTTTGCCTTTAATTTTTTTGGATTGTGTGAACCCCAATACCAAAAACAAAAACTAAAAAAAAAAAGACAGCATTTCGTATTCGGTTACGGAAAATTTCAATTGAAAGGCGTGAAATTGTCACACATCATCAGCTTGTTTTTTCTCTAGAATTCTTTTTCTTTTTTTTTAAGAGGGGACTTGCCAGCCACAGTGTGTTTTAAAGAGTTTTAAATATTTTATTGCCAACAATTTTAATGAGCCAACACCGATTTTTTTATGGTTATTAAATTTGAAGATGAAATTTTAAGATGTTTTCCTTTTTCTTTCTTCAAATATCCAAGTTTATGTTTATATCTTTAAGGCGATTATTCAAATTGAGTTCGCCGTATCTGTTTTCAATATCGATGGCACGAGTTTTATGATTTTCAAATCTTAATATTTATTTGAAAATTAAAATTCATTTCTTCTAAATCGGAAAAAAGAAAGGTGTAACATTACAACACCAGTTGTTTAGTTTCTGGGTGTTTGGTTTAAGGGTGGGAAAATGTGAATAGCCGGATATCTGACGGTTTTTATGTCTCCGCTCTGTTATTTTGTCACACAATCTCCCAGTGGAACACTTAAGTCGGGAATATTAATAGCCATCATTTGGTTTGACATTATCTACCCCGTTTGTCTGCCTGCTGCATTAGGGTGGCCTTTTTTAGCATTTTTCCCATTTCGGATGTGTTAATTCCCAAGATGTAATTAAGAATTGCTGGGTTCATTTAAAGGGGGGTAAAAAGGGAGAGATTGAGACAGCTATGCCTTTGTTTCACGTTGACAAAGGTGTGTGTGTTTTTTATATCTGGTTTGGAAATCTATGAGAAAATTATTGCGTATTGGGATATGTGAAAAAATGCAATAGAGTTTTGGGGTTTCTGAAAAAACCAAAGTAATAATGGGAAATTGTTTGAATGGTTTCACGTAAGATAATCGCATACAAAATTGCGTAGAAATGTCCTGCTTATTCATCTCAGGTTCCGTTTTTTTGAAAGTTTTATTTTTCAAAAATCTTGACCCTATATAGGGAAAGTACCAGAAGAAATGGCCCGATCTCTACCATCTTTATAGTTGATCTTGTCTGGATGCAAATTTTGAGATGTGCCAAGTCTGACTGGAATCAGATGTTAATTTTGTGTTTTATGAGCTTCGTGGGTACTCAAAATGTTGACCCTTTGTGGGGGAGGTACCTGAAGGAGTAGACCGATATATTCCATCTTCGCACCAAATCTTGTATTAATAAAAATAATGTGATTTGTGTAATTTGAAGACAATCGGATACCTACATCATATTTTATAAGAGTTATAATTATTCAAAATTTTGACCCTTTGTGGGGGAGGTAATTGATGGAGTGACCTAGCACTGATGCAAATATTAGGCTTTGCAAAGTTGGAGCAAATCGGATTATATTTTCTTTTTCTGTGTAGTAAATTATTTTCTTTGAATATGTTGACATTTTGTGGGAAGGTACCAGAAGGAGTGAACCGAAATTGCCCATCTCCGCTTTGAGATTCGGAAAAAGGGGGTTCAAAATGTTCCCTTCTCAATACTGCGAGTAAAACTCACTCGAACTCGAGTATAGACTATTTTTATGCCACTCGAATTAGTGAGAACATACTATGCTGGTTTTCGGTGGGAGTAAGATTTGAGGGGTGAAATTCGCTCTGAGAATCGGAAAACGGTGGTTCGAAATACTCCCTACTCAATACTGCGAGTAAAACTCACTCGAACTCGCGAGTGCTCTATTTTCCTATTCCTTTCAAATTATAGCTGACATACTTTGCTCGGTTTCCGTTGTAGTAAAATTTACTCGAAGTCGAACAGATTTCACTCTAGCGAGTAAAATTTACTCTCTTTTATTTTGTCATACCGTTATTCTATGTTTCAGTAAGGGTATTTTTTGAAACTACGAGTTCCTCGAAAGTACGAGAAAGGGAAACTAGTGAAAACTTAAAAAAATGAATCGCAGTGGGGATTTGAAATTCTCGCTCGAATTCGAGTATACTCTATTTTTCTACGCCTCTCAAATTAGAGCGAACATGATATGTCGCTTTTCCCTGGGAGTAACATTTGCTCAAAGTCGAACAGACTTTATTCTAGCGAGTATCTAACTTTTAATTTTTGTCATAACATTCATCTATTTCTACGTATGGATATTTTGTGAAACCACGAGTGGCTCGAAATTACGAGAAAGGGTAACTGGCAAATAACTTTAAAACTGAATCACGGTGGGGATTTGAAATGCTCGCTCGAATCTGAGCATCGAGCGCAGATACTATGTTGTTTTTTTTCTGGGAATAACATTTGAAACTACGAGTGGCTCGAAAGTGCGAGAAAGGAAAACAGGTACAAACTTTAGAAATAAGTAACAAATGCTTACTCGAATTCGAGTATCGAGCGAAGATACTATGTTGGTTTCCATTGGGAGTAACATTTGCTCGAAGGCGAGCAGATTTTATCCTAGCGAGTAAAGAGTACTCTCTTTTATTTTTTGTCATACCATTTTCTATTTCTAATTTTTTTCCTTGAAGATCATTGAAGACATCGAGCGAATATGAGATATGAATTACAATTTTTAAAATCACTAGTTTAGCCAATCAGAAGCTGACAATCGTGTTACCATTTTACCCCGTTTATTTTGCCTAGCTCATTTTTAAAGAGAATTTCATTCGCCAATGTTTTCTAACATTTTTCAATGTTTCTAGTAAAAAATTAAAAAAAAAAATTGTAAAATGAATAAAGACACGCGGGGTCTGGAACGGATCTATTGTTTATCTTTCACAAATTCCTAGAGCTCTCTCAGAGAGAAATAAATTTTGAAATTTCATTAGTTTTTATTCAGATTTTCCCAAAAAGAAGAAAAAACCAAAACTGCATTTTAATTGCAAAACCAGGTCCTCCCAAATAATACAATCTGAAAATTTACTCAAAAGTACCGAAGAGATGTAGAGAATTTAATATTTTTAATGGCGCTTCCCCTTCTCATCTCCAAAATAGAATATTCAAATAAAACTTTACTGTGGCATGAGGAGACCCCAACTCCACTGTTCCTTGTTCTACAAAAAAATTGGCAAATAAAAACAAACTACAAGCAGGACAAAAAATAATAAAAGAACGAAGAACATCTAAAACAAACATTAGCAACAAATGTTTTAGCAAAATCCCCAAGAAAAACATCTTCCCTGGGTTTACCAAAGAAGAAGACATCATTTCTTTAATTTTTTTGATGCTCCCTTTAATTTCAAACATTTTCGACAATGTCTTCTTCCCATACTTCTGTAGTTGTTGTTTTTTTTGTGTTTTTTTTTGAAAAATTTCAACTCATTTATATTTAATGTGTTTTCGTTTCCTTGTTGCTCATTTTTTTCTGCTTTTCGCTTCTTTTCTTTCAGAATTCAAAGCACGCCAACACATCTTCATCAGTCGCTCAAGCGGCAGCAACAACATCGGCGGCAATGATGGCGACAGCAACACAAATGAGGGCGACGTTAATATATTTAGCGCCTTTTTTGCATCCGTGCAAGAATGTTGTTCCTGGAACATCAGCAGCAACAACAACACAACAGCACTTGTCCGCCGACTGGGATGGGGCAGAAGATGTGGAAGTTTCACAAAAGACACATGTGGCCCGTGTTAGTGCCACACCAACAACGGGGACGGCATCTTTGTCCTCCTCAACTGCCGGCAGCCGCTCCAGCATGACAAGACGTGGTGGTGGTGTTGTTGGCGCTCACAGTAATAGCAACCGGAATGTTACGACCACGAGCTGTGCTGGAACAAACACGCTGCTACATCCAGGCGGCCATAATAATCATTATAATAATGCCATAAATTGTAATAGCACCGTCATCAATGCCAGTACAGGCGTCAGACATGCCAGTGGTGGCAACGGCAACGGCAACAGCAACAGCAACGACATCAGTAGTAGCTCCATAAGAAGCAGCTGTTGTCATCATAATAATGCCGCAACAGAACGACAGGATCTAGACGACACCACGGCAAAGTTGCAGTGGCCAGACGCCAGTGAGCAGCCGAAAATCCCGAAGAAGAAGAAGGATAACGCAAAATGTTATGAAAATTATGAAAAAATGCCTGCCTTAGAGACCACAACAACAACAACAACGACAACAACGATGTTTGCTAGTGCTAATAATAAAATAAGCCAACAACAACAACAAACCGAACAGAGTAACGACCAAGGATGCCTCGTTGCACGAGTGGTGGAGAGCCCCCAGAAACCGGCCGACAACCCATCATTATCTGCTACAACCTCCATAAATAGCTGTCGCAGTAACACCACGCTCACGTCGTCTGGCATGTCTGGTGGTATGGTTCCTTCAACGAAATCCTCCCTGGCCATCCAGCAGGATACAAAAACAACAACCTCATTTGTAAACTATCCGAATAGCCGTAGTACAAAATATTTACGCGAACGTGGTCGCAGGCACCACCATCAACAGCAGCAGCAGCAAGGACATACTTCAACATTAGCTCTAGCTCCTGTAGGACGGCAACCACTTAAGAAACTCGAAGAATTTCAGTTGGAACAACGAAGAAAATCGCCGTGTGGTCGTTACAGTCATCCAGATCTATGCTCGAATGCGACCACCACCACTGCTCCGGCTTCGGCTATGGCTGTTGTTGTTATTGATAATCATAATACGGCAAAATGTTGTAATAATAACCAAATGGCCAACACGTCACTGTTGTCAAGATGTCATGACTCAAATAAGACGCTCAGCAATGTCCCAGCGAGCCAGGATCACAACAACAATGTCCAGGACGAAGTAGAGGAAGATGGTCATCATGATTTAATATTAAGACATTCATTGGAGGGCAGCGGCAATGCCATAGGAAATGAAATATTTTATACCCACAACGACAATGTACTCCCAACACCAGCCCCCTCAGTGTCGTCATCATCATCCTCCTCCACTTCCTCCACCTCGTCTTCATCATCAGCCTCAGCTTCAATTTCAACTTCAACTCCAACTTCGTATACAACGATATTAAATAAGGAATGTAGGTGCTTTAATAAAACTAAACGTGATATTATTATTGGCAGCGAAAGGCACAGCAAAAATCCAGCAATGGCGCCAACAACAACAACAACAACAACAGCAGTAGCAACAACAGCAACTCCATTGCCAGCCTCCAGTTTCCCGAGTTGTTGCATTATCAACTCAAATGCCGACAGTAGCAGCAATGCATTATCCCGGCAACAGCCTGTTTTAGATTTATCGGCTACAACATCATCAACTGTATCATCGACATCCATGGAGGAGTCGTCATCTCTATCGACAGCCTCATCACTCCTGGCCACTGCGGCGTCACTGTCTTGGTGGCGTTGCTGGTGCTGGTTAGTGGCATTATTCGGCTGTTCCAAGTTAACCAAAACGGTTACGGTTTCAAAGTGGTTGTTTATGTGGCTGTTATTTGTTGTTCTATCATCGCCAGCCCAGTGCTGGGCGGGTCGTAACGATGGTAAGTACATATTTATATATATTTTTGTTGGGTATTTATATATAAGTACATATGCTTAGATCCAATAACGAATTATGAAAAATGATTACCAAATGGAAAAAACTCAACATGGGTGAGGTTATAAGAAAGGTGCCAAGAAGGGCTCCTTGTTTGGAATATGACTTTCAGAATTTGGCAATTTTCAGTTGCTCGATTTCATTGAAAAATTTAGAAGTTTAAAAAAATAATGTTTCATCAGACTTTAAGATATTTTATCAAAAACAGTATCTACCACATCGAAGTTCTACGGGCTTAATTTTCAATACCTTCCACCGTGAGCCAAAGAAAACTTAAAAAAAAATGTCAGAATTTAATATAAGACCAAGTTCTATTTTATACCAGTGAAGTATGTTAGAGGTTACAGTAAAAGCCTTCGAAATACCATAATGTGTGCGGTGCAGAGGCTACACAGAGGCTGTCCCATAAAAGAAACTACATAGAACATTTCCTGCAGAATGTTAAAATGTCTGGCTAAAATCATCAGAATACAATATAATCGGAAAACCGTTTCCGATTACCGCTTAAATTGTCAAAATCCCGAATTTCGAAAAATACCGTTATATATGGCTATACGTTAACGTGACAGACATGGTCAATAATCAGTCGGTTTTTTCGACAGATGTATACCCTCAGTCAATGTTCGATTATTTAAATATATTTTAACGTCTGTTGTGATTATTCAAATTGTTGAACCTCTATGGAGCAGGTTCCGAAGAAATGGGCCAACATTGTCCACTTCGTATCAGACCTTAATAAATATGGTAGAAATATTTCGACGTGGCAGGTTTGGACCATATTGGTTACCTCCTTCACTTTATATGAGATATGTGATACTTTTTAGAACATCTAAGAGAAGTGCCAGATATAGTCGACCGAAATACTCCATTTTTTCACTCCATCTAATACAGATACAAATATTGTTATGGCCAGGATTACAAGAAAATCGAACCTTTATATCCAATTTTATGAGTAATCATAAATTTCATATTCATCTCAGGAATTGCTGACTTGTTTCGCAAGTTACGAAAGATAAAAGTATTGAAAATTGCGACCTTTTGTGGGTGATGTACCAGAAGGGGTTCGCAGATATATATCAATTTTACAACAGATCTTGTGCTAGCAAAAATGTTTACATGTGTGAAATGTGAAGGGAGTTTTGTGCTTATTTCGCCTTTTTTGGCGTTTTGTTTTTCAAAATCTTTAATCCTACGTGGGGAAGGTACCAGATTTCGATCTCTACCATCTTTATAACAGATCTTGCTATGATGGAAATATTGAGATGCAGCAAGTGTGAATGGAATCGTATGTTGATTTTGCTTTTTTTTGAGCTCAATAGATATTCCAAATTTTGACCCATTGCAGATAGAGTGGACCGATATGTCCAATCTTCACAGCACATCATGTGTTAGTGGAAATAATGGGATGTGTGAAATATAAAGAGAGACGGATGGTTAATTTGTATTTTATAATCGTTTTGGTTATTCCAATATTTGACCCTTTTCGGGGAGGTATCAGAAGAAACAGTCCGTTCTCTACAATCTACAAATATTGGCATGCACCAAGTCTGAATGGAATCGGATATTAATTTCTCGTTTTATGAGCTTAATAGCTATTCAAAATTTTGCCTCTATGTGGGGGAGGTACCAGAAGGAGTAGGCCGATATATCCCATCTTTACAACTGATTTTGAGATAGTAGAAATAATGGCATGTGTGAAATATAAATAGAACATGATGCTTAATTCGAATACCATGGATATTCAAAATTTGGACCTTTTGTAGGGGAGGTACCAGAAGAAATGGTCCTAGATATCGGACCGTTTTTATAACAAATCCTGTGTTGATGGAAATATTCAGATGTGCCAAGTCTAAATGGAATCGGATATTAATTTCGCGTTTTTGAGGTTAATGGATATTCAAAATTTCGACCTTTTGTTGAGGAGGTACCAGAAGGAGTAGGTCGATATATTCCGTCTTAATACCAGATCTTGGGTTTTAAAAGATATTACGATGTGTGAAATTTGAAGACAATCGGACTATTACATCAAAACGTTGACCCTTTGTGTGAGAGGCACTTGATGGAGTGGACCGATATTATCGATTTTTACACCTGTCCTAGAACTGACGCAAATATTACGATTTTCAAAGTCAAAAGAGCAAAATTGGATTATTGCTTCCCTTTCTGTGCAAAAATATTTTTTTTTACTTTGACCTTTTGTGTGTGGTACCAGAAGGAGTGGACCGATTTACTCCATCTTAACACCAGGCTAATAAAATTATTGCGATGTGTGAATTCTTACATCACATTTTATAATAGTTGTACTTATTCAAAATTGTGACCCTTTGTGGGGGTGGTACTTGATAGAGTGTTCCGATATTGTCCATGTTCACACCTGACCTAGCACTGACGAAAATATTAGGTTTGGTGAAGAAGGGACAAAAACGGATTATCGTTTGTCTTTCTGTGCAGAAAATATATTTTTTGAAATTTTCGACATTTTTGGGAGGAGGGGTGAACAGATATTACCCATCTCCGAACTCGACCTAAGTTTGACAAATATATTACGATGTACCAAGTTTGGGCCAAATCAGATACTCTCTTCGAGAGTTATCGTGCCCACCAGCCAGCCAGACAGACGGACATCGCTAGATCGACTCAAACTGTCCTGAAACGAATATGGTCTAAAGAGATCTATGGTCTAAAATCGGTATTTCAATGAGTCACATTTTGGCCGTATCAAATGATATATACCCTCTCTAGCCATGTGGCTGAGGGTATAATAAAATGCCATTGATATAACAGGAGCTAACACCACCGGTACCAAATTAATATCATTTAAACCTTTTGTGTCCCCATATTGCTTATTTTCAAACTCACCTTATCTCAATCCTACAATTACCAATGGTACAATATATTCTACATTTAATAAGTTCGAAATTCTCATGACATATGCGCTTACAAAAATTCGTAGCTTATTAAAATATACAATTAAGACAAATGAATTAAAACAAATGAATATTGGTTCGAACTCTATGTTTTTGGAATCTAAACGTCTGCAGTACTTCAATTAATTTTTTGTTTTATATTTTTCTCAAATCACAATTTCCAATTTGTTGAAAATATTTCAATTCATTCGTCTTCCCGCATTCCGTTCCATAAAAATATGCTATCCAAATAGAATTTAATATTCATTTGAAAATATACCTTTATTTGGAAAAGTTATTCAGGCCGAGTGACCATTATCCAAAGTCTATTTTCTTTGGACAATTAAAATGTGGAATAGATTTCTTTCTAAGAGGCCACCATCAGCCAAAGCACTGTGGACAATGGTCCAGCATTTCGGGTCATTAAAAATTTATTGGTTTTTATTAAAGGCCGTTGAAGTAAATCAGAATTATGTTTTTTTTTCTTTACATTTACTTACTTGTGAGCGGTCGGACGGTCGAACGAATGAATGACATTTATTTTACATTGGATTTTATAAACCCTGGAATAGGTATTCCTAAAATCTTTTCATCCAAAAGCAAGAAAAGGTCGCCTTCAAAATTTTCCGCTTTTTTGGTTTTATTTTCTCGCTCCTCTGGAATTACGGGTATTTTAATAGACAATGGCATTCCAAATCAAAGCGGTGGGTTGTTTGGCTGGCTGGCTGGCCTGCATGTTTTCTTTTTTTCTTTTTAAGGCGGAGACAAAACAAACACCCAAATGAAGAGTGGACGGAGAAAAGAAAAACAAAATTGTTGATTCAGCTATTATTGAGATTTGTGGCATTTTAATTTAATTTAAATTCTTTTGTTTGTTTATTTATTTGTCGCCATTCTTTGGGAATGCCTTTTGATGACCACCAAGGCCTGTCAACTGAACCCAACTCCAACCCTGGTCGCATACAATTTGACCTTCAAGTATTTGATTTCTAAACTCGGGGATATTTTTAATTCAGAATTTTCCCTGACGCCCAACATTGTTTGGATATTTCCACAGGGTAACCAAGGGAAGAACAGAATTGTAACATAACTCCCGGTATAGGCCGCTGTTTGGTCGCTGTCGCCTAGTCCGCTTAGTAATTCACTAAAATAAAAATTACGACCGGAAACGCTGAAGCATAAAAGCAATAAAAGTGAATTTAAATATCGGTTCTTTTATTTGTTGTTGTAACTTTTTTTGTTCTGTTCCTTATGGTTTCCTCCATTTTGCAGTTGTTGGGCTTGGCAATTATTATTTTGTGTTTTTTCTCTTCTCTCTTTTTTTTCTTTTCTCAGCTGGCATGCAACATTTGTTTTGTAAAAAATAGGCTTTTTCATGTATGCTTTAATTAAAAGTGGAGGGTGACCGCGATCACATGCCCATTAACGTGTTGTATTCATTATGTTGACTGGTTGGGAAGGTTGGTGTTTTTTTTTGTTCAGGCAAATGCACTGTGTTTTCAGGGGGATTTGAAATTTTCTTCTTTGTATAACATGGAGGATATATTAAATTTTTCGGATCAGTTTTAGATTTTGATATTTCCTCTGACTTCATGTACTATGCCATACTGATCCAAGACATTTATCAAATAATTCCGGTCATATAAAACGTATAGTGGAGGGTCTAAAATGTTTGTGATCTACAAAAAACGTTTTAGACCCTCCACATTCGTAACTCCTCGAAATACTAATATCAGACCCAGCAAAGTATATATTCCTGATCAATATAATATTCTAAGATTTAGTCGTCGGTCTGTCTGTGTCTCTATCTGTTGTACTCCCTTCGAGAGTTATCAGATACACGGATGAACGGACACCGCTAAATCGACCCCAAATGTCCTGAAGCAGATTTCGTTCAAAGGGATCAAGGACATAATACCAATTTAATACCCTCAGCCATATGGTAGAGCTGGTATATATCATTTGATATGGCCAAAACGTGCCTAGTCGATATAACGGTATTAGAACCTTGGTGTCTTTGGACCAAATTCGTTTTATC